GCATATATCTTCTGGAGTTTCCTGTTAGTTTGCCAGTGTCTGCTAATCTGACATGTAAGTAATGTTTTTTATTCCTTCTCCTGCAAATGCTCAGCATGGGTTATTGAGACTTTAAGTGCCAGATTATTAGAAAGGGGTAGACCCTGAGGAACATGTAGCTATACTCCTCTGTGGATCTCTGTACTACTGTGTAGCAGAAAAGGCAACAGGAGGGGCACGCCTGACAACCAATCATGCAGTTCCTAGAGCTGTAGAAAAACAGGTCACGTGGTGAAGTACTGCCCATTTCCAAGAGATTACTCAACCAATAGAAGCTGTTCTAGTTTTAAATCAAAAGAACAGAGGGATTGCAGAAAATATGTGAAGCCTGACTCTAACAGAGAGACAAAGGGAAAGGCTGGGAAAGGCTGTAAACAGTGAGCATGTATGACCCATTATTGTAAATCTAGATGAAAATTCAGTGGAAATAAGGAAGTTCCTAAGGGTGATTCGATGAAAATTGAAAGAAAAGGGACTGGGATTCTGAAATCTGAACTACCTAATGAGATAGGTGAGACTACTATAAGCAATGTATTGTTTGTTCCTGAACTACAGTGCAACATGCTAAACAAATCAGCTTTAAATTATAAAGGTTTTTCCATATATTTTAAAAATGGACAGTGTACAGTAATGGAAGATGGTGAAATATATTTTCAAGCAGTTAAATCTAATCATGTTTATAATCTGAGTATTTTAGAAGAACAGCAACAGATCAACACAGTGCAAGCTCAGAGAGAAGGTGGCAACAGCATGAAGCTGTGGCATTGGTGCTTTGCACACAGTGGTATAACAGAAAAGCTGTATCGTGTATCACAGAAAAAAAGTATTAGGTCCTCATTCCTACCAAGGATTGAGAGAAAAAGCACCCAAATGCTGAATCTGACACATAGTGACTTGTGTGGGCTACTCAGTATCTCACCACTTGGATATAGATATTTTCTAATATTTGTTGATGATTTCCCAAGGTACTGTGTCACCTATTTCCTGAAGCAGAAGAATGAGACACATGATATGCTAAAGATGTAAGTAGCCATAGTGAGCAACAAATTTCAAAGCAAACATAAGGCACTCCAGATGGATAATGGTGGGGAGTACTTTTTATACCACATACAAGTTGTTTTAGAGGAACAAGGCATTTTGCACAGGAGAACTTTTCCACACACACTTGAGCAGAGTAGAATAGCTGGAAATAAGTTGTGGTCTCTTTTGGAGATGACAAGATGCATGCTAGCGGATGCAAAGTTGCCCAAGAAATTTTGGGATAATGCAATCGTGACAGTAATGTATCTCCAGAACAGATTGCCAACCAAAGGCATGACAGTAATGTATCTCCAGAACAGATTGTCAACCAAAGGCACGATGAAAACACCATTTGAATTATGGCATGGCAGAGTATTAAGCATAGAACATACCAGAGTTCTGATATATGCTTATATAACAAAACAGAAAATGCACAATTTGGCCTCTAGAATTGAAGAAACTGTTTTGCTTGGTTATGCTCCTGGCAGCAAAGGGTATAAAGTGATAAAAACAGGTTAGTGTAAGACATATGGTTCGTTTTGATGAATGAAAGAAAGCTGACAAACAGAAGATCAACAGAAGATATAAAGTGAGAAAAACAGGTGAAGTTAGTGTAAGACATATGGTTCGCTGTGATGAATGAAAGCTGACAAACAGAAGATCAACAGAAGACCTCTGAAGAACTGAAAAACTGGACAATTGAAGAAGATATTACTGCAAGAAGGCTTCAAGCAAGGTGACGCAGATCAGTGCTTGTGTATCAGAAGCCGAATGGACAATTAACCTATATCTTTACCTTTGTAGATGACCTGATTGAAGCAATTCAAAGGGAATGGAAGTACAAAGAGATTGTGCACTATCTTAACAAAGAGGTAGAAATCAAAGAGTTTGGGGATGCAATAAATTATTTGGACTTTAAAATTGAGAGGGAGGCAAATGGGTCATATTTCCTAAATCAGAAACAAAAGATAAGTTTCTGGAGACATTAGTCCTCCAAGATGACCATAGTGTAACAACACATATGTAACCAGATTTTCTGAAAAAAAAGAAGGATTGTGAACCCCTACCAAATAATAGTAAATATGGAACAGCTATGGGTAAGGTTTTGTATCTCACTAAGAAGGATCGTGAACCCCTACCAAATAATAGTAAAACAGCTATGGGTAAGGTTTTGTATCTCACAGCCACTACCAGATCTGATATAGCTATCACTGTAGGGATACTAAGCAAAAATGTTAGTTTGCAAAACACAGAGTGATTGGACAGCAATACAATAGGATGTTTGAAAGTGACCATGGTCTTCAAGTGAAAACTGCCAATTAGTAAAAACCCAAAGCTTATAGGATGCATTGATGCTGACTGAGCAGAGAAAAATATAAGTTCGTAATACCTATATGCCCACCAGCATTTTCCTTTTCATGTATTGTGATGGCCCTATTTTGTGAGCTAGTCACAAACAATATGTTGTAGCTTTATCTTCCGCAGAGTCTGAATTCATTGCTGCAGCTGAAGCATGCAGAAAATGGCTACGGCTGGGGGAAAAAGCCAAAAAAAGCAAAGTGTGCTGCTTATATACTGCCCCATAGCACTTCAAGCACTCTCTGGGCAGTTTACAAGTTAATTACACGGCTACACTTGCCTCCCCCCCAGCGAGCTCGGTACTCATTTTACCGACCTTGGAAGGTTAGGAGGCTGAGTCAACCTTGAGCCGAATACCTGGGGATTGAACCCCAGGTCGTGAGCACAGTTTTGGCTGCAGTACAGCAGTTTAACCGCTGCACCACGAGTCTTCAGAGAAGCTGTTGAATGACTGGTAAATGAAGAGATGCCCATCCAGGTGATGGAGGACAACAAGAGCTGCATCAAGCTATCACAAAGTGAGAAAATGAACACACACGCTAAACACAGCAGTGTGAGATACCACTTGGTGTGTGGCCTGACTGAGAAAGGTATCATTGAGATTATCTATAGTCACACCACAGAGATGGCAGGAGACATCCTGATCAAGCCTCTTGTGAAAAACTACTTCAAGAACTTGAGTAGCAAGATGGGACTTCAAGAAGGTGGCTGCATGCTGATTTGAGAAGGGGTGCTAGATTTTTATTTATAACCTTGCATGCTGTCTGTAGTAACAGGGAGGGACTCCGCTCGGCTGAGGTGATGGTCTATCTATCCAGCACTAACCAATTATTACTTCCAGCTTGTGAAATTCAAAGAGAACCCCACTTCTCTGCTGCGTGTTCTATCTCTTTTGTCAGTTTGTGGCAGTAATTTGTTGCTGTTGATGTGTTCTGTTGTTTGCTAGTATGTGTGTAGTAAAGAAAGCAATATGCCCAAATCTGTAATTTCAAGCAACTGTAAGTAAAAAAGCTTTTCTTTCTTTCTCCTACAAAGAGTGAGTTACTGAAACTTTAAGTGCTAGTTAGTGAAAAAGATGTGGACTGTGGCGAACTTGTAGTTATTCTTGTGGATCTTTGTAGTTCTGCTGTATAGGAGAAAGGGGGAATTTTATCAGCAATTCAAATCTCTGCAACAGAGGCAATAATTTTGACAGATTTTTCATTTAATTTGGTAAAACTGACTATCAGATATTACAAATGGAGTCATTTAATTAAAAATTAGAGAACTGTAACAGACATTGAGGCACCTGCATGTGGAGCCAGGGGCTGGGATTCTGAATCCTGCGGGGATGGCCAGTGGTGATTACTATGTCTGATTGGGTTGAGTACCTTGCCACCTGTGTGGAGTGGGTAAGCTGTGCCACTCCAAAGCACCATCAGAAGGATGGACCAGTAAACCATGACTGAATGCTTCACCTAGAAAACCCTGGGAATATTGTTGTACATTGGAATCAACTTGATGGTACATTATTAGTAGTAGTAGTAAAATACATAGAATAACTAAGAGTGATAAAAGCAAACCATTACCTTTCTGAAGTATCTAAAACATTAGCTGTGAAACCCATTCATGGTAGATAGAGATTATACCTATTATTTGTCTCTGTACAGTTCCAATTCTAGTACACACACTATATAGTACACACATATTGGTCATTCAACGCATATGCATTTTGACACATTCCTCCCAGGGAATAGTAATCCAGAGCGGAAACTGTGACAGGACTGCTGCTTGGAAATTCAGCCATCCCTCCTTAACAGACATAGATTCAAGGGGAAGGTAAGCTTGTATTTTGGAACAGAGAATTTTCTTTCCAGACCAGGCACTGCTGGGTCAGATGACCTGCTCAAATTGTTTAGAGGAATGAGCAAAGATTTGAGCATGAGCAGGGAGTGGCACATTTATTTGTGAAGCTGTACAAGGATGCTATGGATGCATCCATTGAAATCAACGGGAAGTTTTAAAGGGGCTACAGCTACCTTTCCAGTGCCTCATAAAAGCATATAGTAGCCCAGCATTAGAGACACAAGTGCCCTAAGCAGATGCTGTTTGTCCCCAAGGAGGCTGTCATTTGCAAGCTTCTTTCTGTCTTCCTCTGCTCAGCTAAAAGTATAGGAACAACTCTTTGGCTTCAGGGAATTTGAACAGGCTTTAACAGGGTTTACATCCTCCACCCCCATTCCTTCTTTTTCTCTCAAAGGTTTTGTCATGCCATTTTAAGAAAACAGAACTTTGTCTTCTGTACAATCTTTGGATGGAAGAAATACAACTGGAAATAGATGGAAATGGCCCTGCCCTTTGAACAAACTCTTAAAAGCCAGCCACCTTTTTTTTGTTTTTTGTTTTTGTTTTTTTGCAGAAGAAAACATGCAAGGGACCTGTGCAGCTTAAATCATGTTCCAGCACCTTCACCTCACTGATCTCAGGAGAAACAGTCTCCTACACATATGATTCTTAAAAGTGCATAACTTGAGTTCAATCATATTTTTCAAATAATTGAGGCACACGTTTTCAGAGGCAACAAAGGTCACCACCTATACAAATTAGTATTTTAAAACTCTTTTTATTCAGGCAAATGGCCATTTAAATATAGGATTTAAAAAGAGAATTTCTACAATCAATGTACATGCATTTGGAAGTAATAAAATACATGTACAGGATTGACCTTAGGTTGTCCTTAACTAGCATACTACTCTTTCGGTACAAATCTCTTCTGTACAAATTCCGTGACAGTTTCCAAGGTCACTCATCAAGGCTGCTGATCAGATCTATATTTGTTTCGTTTCAGCAGTGCTACAGCAAGATGTCTGAAGCAATCATTCCAACAGAAGAAAGTCATCACTCTTACGCCATTCCAGTGAACTGACGTAAGTAATTCATAGCTACTGGAAAAAAAATCTTTGGTTAGGTGGACCATGCTGACAAAGCAATTATGATAATTTAGAGATGGGGTAGTTAGAAAATATAATGCTGCTTTTTATTATTTGAAAGACTACACACTAGGAGCTCGGTCTGTGTCAAAGGAATCAAAAGATGAAATCCAAGGAGTGTGTTTCAAGAGTGTCCAACAATGGGGAGAGGCTCAGTTCCTCAACTGCCCCTTCTTTTGTTCTTAATCCCATGAAAATATCTATAGGGCAACCACGCAACAAACAGCACAAATCCCTTTTCATCACTACATTCCAGGCACTTCATCTTGGAAGAGTTGGTACAAAGGCAGTCAAAGATGCTGGAAAATTCCAGAGCCAGCAACAGTCTCTCTCAGAATATCTTGATGTAACTTCTTTTAATCTGTTTTCTTCTGTTTCTTCCTTATGTAGGTCCGGTAATAGAAATTCAAGAAGAGAACAATAAGGCTGAGGATATAGATGAAGACAGCCAGATTAAATCCATCTGGGAATTGGCACTCGCTAAACAGGTTGTAGGAGGAGTGGACAGCGATAGCCATAAATTGGAACTGCAAAAAGGAAAACAAAGAGGAGAACTGAGGATTTCACATATAGCTGCAATGGTCATAAAATAACGCACCAGTCAAGCAGTCAAAGTGGATGATTTCACCCAATACAGTTGCCATGATAATTTACTACCATTTGGAATGATTATTTTAATCATACTGCAGTATTTTTACACTAGCACATGTATTTCTAACTGAACCTCTCACTGTTGTTGTTTGTCTTCAAGTCAGAACAGACATACAGTATAATGAATGTAGTAGAGTTTTCAAGATACGCGAGACATTTATGGGGTGGTTTTACCAGCTCCACTCTCCCAGTGAGTCCTTATGGCTGAACAGGGATTTGAACCCAAGCCTCCTGAGTCCTAGTCTATTCATTACATCACATTGGGTATGACCACTCGTACCCACATATATTTACTCTGTATTCATAACAGTTTGTGACTTATAGCACCTATGTGACTTAGGACTGTCACCCTTTTGAATGTTTTTCTCTTTCTGTTTATGTTAACCAACACTCTGAAAGTTCATTATTCATGTTACAAATACAATTATCATTCTCTGTATATCACTCTACTCTGATCTCATCTCCACAATTTGAAACAGTGTCATTTACTCCATTAATCTGAACAAGCAAATCGTAAATCAAAAAAGCTAATGGTGCAACAATGGTAGCTTTGAAGGTCCACAAACCTTTGAGTTCTTTGGTTGTTTCTTTTGTTGCTGTTATACAGATAATATTATTGAGACTATTTTTATGGTTATATTGGCTGATATATTGTTGCAGGAGTTGACTCACCAAATCCCCACTGATTACTCCTCTAATTGTTATTTACTATGCCAAGCAACACGATTTCAGCCACTGTCTAGTTTGTTTATAGGGATGGTTTTTATAGTTCTATTTTCTAACTTGTTTTTAATTACACTGTTAAGCTGCCTTGAGTACACTTTTTTCAGCAGAAATGTGGGATATAATGTTGCAAAGGAAAGGAGTTCCAGAAATATTGGTATGGATGGACATGGAGGCAACCATTTGACAAAGAGTGAAAGAAAGGTTAAACAAAAGAGAGAAACACACACACACACAAAAAGCCTACAAAGTTTTCATGTACCTCTCATTAACACAAATCATTCATGTGTAGCCTACATAATTAACTTGTAAACTGCCCAGAGAGTACTTAAAGTGCCATGGGAAGGTATATAAGCAGCACGCTTTGCTTTTGCTTTGCTTTTAAGAGGCTCTCATTTGGAAATCAGTGAAAGAACACAAAGACAAAAAAGGAGCCACTTTTCTCTTTCCCCCTGTTGTTAAAAGATAACAATTCCATCGCTATTCATAACTAGCTACTTCAAAGCTCTTTTCCTCAACTTCTGTTGCCTCTCTGATGAATTTTAGCTTTTAAGCTCATTAAGGCAGAAATCTGGTTTTGCCATTATTTTGGAAAGTACCTTGCATGCTAAGGATGCCACATGAAACTACAACAGTCACAGTAATAGAAAAAGGATCATAGACATGGCATGATTCATTAGGTGATCAGCAAAAAGAAGGGAAAACCCAGAATAAAAGCTTTTTAATTTTAGTATTGGACCCTCTGAACCTTTACGATGTCAGTAGCAATCTACCACTTTGCCTAGTATTTTCTGTTTTCCTCAATAAACAAATTACCACAGACTTGATCATCTGCAGAATGGAATTAACTATCTTGCTCTCTTATGCATGGCTGTAGGTAACCATTGCCCTTCTCAGGACTGATTCTATTTTTGTTTCGGTCTTAAGCATCAGAGGACACGAATGGGTGACAAGAAGTTACCACCTCCTCAGAAAAGACCTGGAAATGGGAGCCAAGGGAGATCAAGATCAAGGGGCAACTGTTCAAAATATAGTTAGCAACAAAATCAGCTATTCAAGGTGTATAGTTGGAGTGAAAATGTTAAAAAAATAATTTGATTATCAGAGGCTTAATGAATGCATACTTGGCCACAAATAGGAAAGGTATCTAGCACTTAAGTCAAGGCACTGAATTTGCATATTAAGAGAAAAACCAGTTGTGACATTTACCCCGTGGCCCCTGCTTGTTTCACAAAACCCAGAGCTCACGAAGGTATCCCAACATGCCCTTTAACATGCTGCCACCAGTTGATCTCTTTATCATCCTATATATCCTATGAAAGACTGTGGTCCATTCAGTACTGACCTTTTAAACAGAAACAGGTTTATTGGTTACATGTTGTTTTAGGAATAGTTCTTAAGCACCTTCTTGAAGTTACACCAAGCTTCAGTATTTTACTTTAACCTCTTCTATCTTAATTAATACAGGTTATACTCTGACTAATCAAGCACTCTCTCTGCCTCAAACCCCCAAAATTCTTTCTCCCTTCTCTGTCTGACTGAACTGACTAGACTCTGACTCACCCGTCCCTTCTAGTTTCTCTGGCTCCGCCTCCCGACAGCTCCCATTGGTATATGCAAATAATCTTCTACCTGAGCCAAAGCAGGGTGATCGCTACACCAAGCAATTAGCTATACCACCTATATTTGTTGTACACATATTCTAGTTTTGTGGAAAACATGCAAGTAAAGGGTTTTTATTGAACAATTCAGGAAATCTAATTGCCACTTTATTCACTGGCAATGAAGATTACACAAGTGAAGGAGGTGAAGATAACGACGAGCATGCCTGCGTACAGAGGAAGCCAGAGACCATCTGCCGGACACAGCCCACTGGGTGAGAGACAGTGGAACTGTGGTTGGGCCCCTGTTGGATGCCAGCTCTTTCTCAAGGGAGCTGGCTCAGCCTCCCTCTGTGCCTGAAGGACTAGACCCTGCTGCTCCCGGCTGCCTCCCCCCCCCCCCTCAACATGAGCCACATGGCTGGGAGGGAGAGAAGGGGCTTTAGAAAGGTTTTATTTTATATATATTTTTAAAAGTTATTTTAAATTGTGATTAATTGCCATCAATTAAGAAGAGACTCACAGTGGATTTTAGGGAACAGGAAGGGGGAGGGCGTTGGAGGGGGCAGCCATTGAGGTGGTGCTGGGTAGGGGAAGGAATGGCGGTGGGGGTAGAACATGCCCGCGTAGGAGAAGAGAGGTTAGATACCTTATATCTATCCCCTCTTCTAGTCCTACCCCCAACCAGATGGTATATATCAGCAAGCCCTCGAGCCACACGGTGCTGTTGATGAACGCCAGGTCAGTACAAAATAAGACTGCCCTCATCCATGATGTAATTCTGGATGAGGGTGCTGACCTGACGTGCATTACTGAGACCTGGGTGGGAGAGGAGGGTGGT